ACATGAATTAACGGATCCATTACAATATGGGAGATATAGACATAATCAAATCAAGCTACTTCCTTAATAGATTTCGATTAAATAAATTTGGTTTTAAGTTGAAGCAATTAATAAGGTGTGATAGACTATTGCATTTGATATACAGCAGCCATTTCTTACTTACTTGGCAATAGGCTCACCCCCTATTACATGGGACTCATAACAATAACATAAATAGTGAAAAGTGGGTGTTACAGTGTACAGTGGTATAATGTGTAGGTACCTATGCAACAATTTTTTGGCCATTTCTAACTTCTTAAGTTATTATCTTTCCTCTATAGAAGGAGAATGTGCTTATTGCCAAATACCGAAAGAATTCCAGATTTTGTGATGTTACTGAGAATTTTGGACATACAATAATCATCATCATCAGCCCGTATTTGTCCACTGGACATAGGGCTCTCCAATGGCACGCCACTGAGCTCGGTCTTCAGCTCTTCCCATCCAATCCAATCTCATGGAAATCCAATAATAATTATAATCATTTGCCCGTTCAGGCAACTTGGAATTCTTGCTCGGCAGTCTTGCGACCGACTAACAAGACAGTTTTGGTTATATAAACAAAAATTGATCTAATTAAAGGACGGAATAGCTTGATTTGCTGTTGACTATACATGGTCGTGGAGGGGGTAAAATAATTATTGTTTCACAGTCTTTCACAAAAGATACTAACATTATTGTAAAGCTGAATTCATATTCAAAACGTTTGCATTCAGAAAAAAACGTAAGAACCTTATATTTATTTAGCACATTCATACTTTTTACACATATTCTATTTATTTGCATGTTTCATGCATTGGAGACGAGACATCATATTTACAATTACCTCCTTCTCTTTCTATACAAACCAAACAATTATTGCTTAAAGTCTACAAATATAGATGCCATATGTACAACCTATATTGAATTATCAAATTTCTTCAATTAATATTTAAGTACGCTCGACTAATTTCGAGCTTTTTGACACGCACACAACTCATTATTATGAGCTCCGGTTTGGCTTGTAATTAGACGAGCATCCTCGAAGACTTTAAGCAAGTAAAATACATGTCTATAATGTCGTAGAATAGTCATTATACAAGAATGACTTTTTTATAATTTTGAATTAACGTTGATAATAATCTATTGAAGAAATTTGACACAAGGTTAAGTTGATATGACGTCTGAACAACTGAAGTGATTTATAATAATAGCTGCTTCAGTTCCAATAATATACAGTCTCACAGGTATATAAATTAATTACAAGATTAGAAACAACAAATCAATATGTACATTTACTTAAAAAATAAAATGAGATGAGTAAATATTACTATATTAAAAAAAATGCCATCTTCACCATAAGTCATGGTTATAAAACCTGCTTTATAATCCACACAAATAAGGTTCAATTTAATAAAAAATAAACGTATTTTTCTTTTTAAATTGGGTATTTATCATTGTAATACAACTTTTTTATAAAAAAATAATGCATTCTTACGATTTTGGGAACTAATAGAATCAAGATTTAGAAACTAGTTCTAAATAATATTTATTCATCTCATAATTGATACCATAAAACCTCTACACCCCATTACCTAAATTTAAATAATTTACACAAAATTACAATGCATTTTACACACGACTGTACTTAGGACCTGTGAGACAAATTAAAACATTGATTACTGCATTTTCCAAAGCAATAATATCTCTAGAAAAATAATAATAATACGATAACAACCGAATTACAAAAAAATATCAAGAACCTATCTGTTTCAGTTCGAGTTGTCATTTTTGCGCATAGTAGATGTCGCTACCGGAGATTTAGATGCTGTCAAAACAGTGGGGTCACATTTGACATCGTATTATAACGACCTCAATTTGCATTTTAAACTGTGAATCCGACAACTCAAACTAATTATAAGATTGTAAATAATTTAATAAAAACACAAATAGGTAATTGACTTTGTTCATTAAATTAATATTACTTTTATATCATCTTAATTTGTCACTCATGTAGGCCAATCTAAACATTCTACTTTCGTTTGAGACTCTAATAACAAAATATAGTGACGAAAGACTAATTATATTGTCCCAAGTTTTTTTATAGCATTAATAGTTTAGCTCAGTGTCGTATTATCCTTCAAGATAAACTAGGCAAGGGCCTAGAACGCTAGGTTAATTATGGGCACCTATGAGGAGCTTGCCTATCGCTCTTTAAGTTTAATCAACCTCTTTAAGCAGCTAAAGCTGATGGAAATATCCAGACAAATTAAGACAAATATTGCAGTTTTCCATCACTATATCTTCTTACCATCGTCTCAACACTCCTAGTCACCCTCTACCTAGCATCTAGCATAACTCCTACGACATAAAACATTACATCAGTCTGACACTTGACAGTTTGGTAACAACACAACACGACATAGAGTATCCACTTAATTAATTAAATGCGAAAATAATAAATACATCTCTGCGACTAGTCGTTTAGGTCTTTGGCTAACATTTAAAAGAAAAAATCTCCCTAAAATGTATTTATTTATATTTATTCAATGCTACAATAATTAGCAGCTTGCATTTCAGTCTGTTCGAAATTATTTTTTTTACTTTCAACATTTATCGTTACGTCACGAAATGTCACTATAGATTAATGTGACCACTTACAAAAATAATAAAAAGTGTTACCAACTAATAAAAATAAATTGTGTTCGAAAAATGATTACGCGATAACAGACAAAATAAATATATTAATTAAAAATTATGATTAGAAATACTTACTTGATTGGGAATAGAAAATCAATTCATGTTTATTAGGTATGTACTTATTGCTGGGTTTTGCGAAAACTTTGTTTTCAATACAAAAATGTTAATATCAAATAGATGCATAAAAACATTTTGTGAACATATGCTCCACGATACGTTAATAAGGTCGGTTTTAGAATGTGATAGCAGTTCTAAACTTCAGATTTTTTTATCAAAGAACACAAAATCTAAGTTCTATAAGCAGTGAAAAAGTAGGATTAAAGATAGCCAATCCGTCATCACATCTAAGACATTAAAATTCCTCACTGACATCAAAAAACGCGTCAATTGTCTACATACAATGATATTACTTAATAAATTAATGTTGAAAATTCTAAATTTCCAACGTATTTTCGCACAATACCCCGAAACTTTTCAGATAAGACATAAAATTGTGAAAACGTAATTATTATTACTCACATAATTTCGTTTGACTAACAATAGAAACGTCACTATTTACGCCCCATCAAAAAAGTTGGTAAATACAAAAAATATAATAAAAAATACATATAATATACCTATTACATACATAGATTTCGACTAAATTATACACTAATATATCTATTCATATCTCACTACTTATATATCGTGCGATACTTACGTAATTATTACAATATCTACACAATTTAAATTATTAGGAATTAGAATTATTTCATCGCGCAAGCACCGATATGTTAAGATGGACTATTTCGCTATATGTCTATATATTACTATGTTATACCTTCACTAACACTTTAGAATATCATTTCATTACTCGTCTAAGGACAGATAGCTTTACACTAAACATTTACTATATTATTTATAAACACTCAAAGATTTTTGTTTGTTTACAAATAACATTTAATTACTTTTTGTTCTCTGTTCAAGTTGTTCGCTAAAATTGGGGGGATATGCTATTAATTCAATCATATAGGTATTCGAAAACTAAAAAAACATTATTGTTATAAAAAAGTATGCTTTTTACACAATTTTACACACTATTGAACATAGACACTTCATAAACACACTGACTGTACATTGTAAAAGAATTTCACAAAAAATGTCGTCCAATTTTAGCAAACGCCTGGAATGAATACATCAAATATTAAATAGTTAAGAATTGACATCGAAACCAATTGGGTACCTTTACTAACTACTTACAGACTTATTGTCGTAGACAAAACTATTATATTTTATACTGGTCAAAGGAATGGCAAGTATGAGGTCACCTTTAACGCCGATATCTATGGATGCAACTTTTTTTAAGAAAAAGCTATAAAGTTCGATTGTTTAATTTATTTTGAGTTTTTTTCCGATTACTCGATTGTGTTTTCGATATTAACTGAGGCAGTGATTAAATAAAAAGGCCTTATAACATTAACAAACACGCACTAAGTGCATCTTTTAAAGATTTTGGCGTAAATTCCTTAAAAATAGAGAGCGACTTTCACTAAAACCTTATTTTAAACACAAATAAATTAACTAAAATTCAAATTAAATGCAAATCGGATATTATTAGTTTGGCAGAAAAGTACAGTCACCACCATAAATATCGGCGCAAGGCTTGAAATCATTTGAAACATTACTAGCTAATGCTCTGCATTTGGATATGTCTGAGTTGAGACGCGTATGTCGGGACCATGTTCTGTAAAAGCTCAGGCGTTTTGTATCTCTTAAAGATTTATTTTATTCTATTACCAAATAGATACAATTAATAAATCAAATTTTATGTACTATTACTTCTATGTCGTAAGCGATCATGAAATAATATATACATTTGTGAAATCATTAAAATATAAGAACACATTTTTTTAATCAAAATGACAGTTCAATTGGAAATAAATAAAAGTTTAGATAATTGCTAACAAAACAAATCTTTAAGAGACACAAAAGCCAGTTAGAAGCTCATTAAATACAAACAATAAATAATCAACCAACAAACTATATCCATAACACTATAATTTGACATTTGTATATCGTCAAAATAATCCGAAGGCATTCGTAAGCTCACAACGCAAGTCCTTAAAATAAGGATAAGGGATTTTTTTCACAACGAACAATATGCAGCCAAACGTCAGAATAGGTTCATCAGCAGCTGTAGCCAATTGCTATTTAGCGCTTGTCTACATGTTGAATAGAGAACCAAATTATATGGGATTGATGTAAATTTTGACACATGTCAGTGTCATCCCCATACATTTTGATTTCTACTCTCTCTGTAGACAAGCGCTAAAGTGGCGTTTGGCTAAAGGCTCAGATTATTTTTAGTATACATTGTTCTCGTATTGTACGGAACAATAAAATATGAGAACAATTTATACAATAAATAGTCCAATGGGCCTACGTCGGCGGCTACATATTTTTCGTGCGTACTGTACATTTACGGTAGAAAATCTAATTGAAAGTGGTAGGTGTATATGTACTTAACAATAATTTAATAATAATTGCATTATATTTGTTCATAGTCTTTTTGATCATTTTTTTATTATTTCTTAACATAATTTTGTTACACATGTATATTTAATGTTTAAAACTTTGATAGGGAACTCATAGTTGTCATATTATCGACGTAGAAATTATAGATTTCCTACCGCATATGTACAAACTTGGGGTGTATCGGGGAATTTAATGAAATAATGGCAGTTTAACTCTACATACCCTGGTATTGGGGACGAAATCCCATTTTTTATTTCTCTTACAGCCTTCATTCATTTTGTTATTGTCCGTACCACCTACTTTCCATTAAATCTAACATTCGAGGCCCTCTTCTAATTTAACAGTACTTAAAAATCAACTGGCTCATTAATTTTGATGAAATTAAGTAGTTTTTGTGGTTGACTGTACAATGCTACAACTGAAGCTGATTGTACTAAAACCTGAATACAGCCAGCTTAGTTCGTATCATCATAATACATACAACACACTGACCTTTCTTTCAAAACAGTTCGTTAAGAGGGCCCCCAAAACCTTACCTTACAACGCGCCAATGTCTGGGTACGCGTGCGGTATTCCCGATCCAGTCTCCCTGTACTGGAGCGGGTCAGCTCTAAACTCGACTGGCTGTAAGGCCATGTGGCCGTATATTTCTGCGAAGCGAGCGATGCACGCCGACCGCTGCGACATGTGCCTAGCGTCGGCTGATAACATCTCTGTATTCGTGCATTCTGGACACTTGAATTTTTTGCGAGGCGTCACCTGGAATTTGTTTAAGATCTTGTTTAGGTTCTTTCTATGAGTTACATATTAGCTTTAATGTTTTTTTTATGATATATTAGATAGTCGAAATAGTTATATTAACCGTAGCAGAATAGAAGAATGTTTTTATAATAACTATCGTGAGACATACTAAATTAACTAAAATCGCAGGTTACTCACGTGAATACTGCTCTACTAGTTTCGAACCACAGAGGGGTCACCGCGACCGCACACGCTGCTCATGAGGAAGAACCCCTCTGTGTTTCGAAACTAGTAGAGCTTTTCTCAGTATATTCACGTGAGTAACCCACGATTTTAGTTCATTTAGAATAGAAGAATGTTTGTTCACCTGAAAATATTATTTATGCTCACTTAGGTCGAATAAAACAATGTCATTTCTAAAAATATAACTGAACGAAAGAAAGACCTTAAATGTCACGGTGAACCCTGAGGGCAAAACGTCCATTTTTCAAGCGAAATACAAGTACAAAATCAAACAAGTTAGAGGTGACTTTTTCAAGGTACATGTAGCAAAATTAAGTTTGACAGCAGTAAAATTCATCAAGAATGACCAAGAGGCTAATTCTTTCTCTATTTGAAACAAAGTCTTTGCCTGTTGGGATAGCTACAGGATCAAAATCAACTGTCTGCAGAAAAAAGCATGTGTATACTTTGCCAAACAATGCAATAGGTAGCTGTTACATCTGATATATTAATATGTATTACCTTAATTGGCGCCTTTCTAGTAACATTAGCGACGAGGAAATTCATGGCAATATCCTCGCAGTTGAAGTTGTCGTCCACCCAGCTCCTGATCTCCGGTGGCATCTTGTACGTGTAGTACCATGACCAGATCTTGTGGTGAAACGCTGCGCCCGTTAACACCTGGAACGTGAAAGATGATCTTTGAGACAGTGTTAATACTTTTTGAAGGGGATTTTTATGGCATTGTACCGAAATAATGCTCTAATGGAGGTGTGATCTTTATAACACCTCCGTCAGTCTTTACATAGCTTTATCTAGAGCTTAGACGAACCCTCGTCGAACATATTTCTTTAGGCAAACATGAAGCCGAACCCTCATGTGGTTTTTTTTTATGGGGGCAAAATCATCGAATGACTGCTCCCGCCTGGGTGAGGCGTGAGGGAGTGTCAGACTCTTACTTACTAAAAACCACCCCGTTCCTTCTCCTGCACGTCGAGCCGGAGCCCCGGTTTCCCGTTAGGTTCTCCGCGACAACCCTCATGTGTAGCAATTGGATTTACTACTGTTCAATCAATAACACATTTAGCATCATCAAAAACAATCAACATCGACACAAAACCTTTTTTAAATTCCTTGTTTTGGACCTCACTACAGCTGTTATCAGACAGACAACAGAACGGCAATACAAGGACAAAACAACTAAAATCGTTATCATCATCTAAAAACCGCTGGCTGTCATCCAATCTAAAGCTATAAACATTTGCGAATCATCTTTTTATTTCGCAGAACAAACATGTAAGCTTCTATATTTGTCGTTTTGATCTCACTGCATCAATGGGAATTCCTGTTAATCATCAGGGATTGCCTAAACTTATACCTAAGTCTTGTTTTTGGCCTACTACCAAGTGGATTAGTATCAGTCACTTCGCAATATTATCTATCTGGTTTTTCCTGTCACAGATTGCCTAAAGACTCAAGTTTATAAATGTACCAATGGGGATTCTTGCTCATGTTAAAATAGAAATTTGTAATTTCAAACGGGCCACAGAATTTTTTTTACGGCATAAGCCGGTAAACGAGCAGACTGATCACCTGATGGTAAGCAATCGGCGTCGCCCATGGACACCTGGAACACCAGAGGCGTTACAAATGCGTTACCGGCTTTTTGGGGATTAGGATTTTAGGATCGTTGGGGATTCAGGGATTGGGGAGATTGGGTAAGGGTAGGATAATTGGAACTGCTTGAAATTAATTGCAAAATGCCTTTAAGTGAGTTAATTCATTTGATTAAGTGCCAGCTAATTTGACACGCAATCATCAGCTAATCTCTCTAAAGATACTTGAGTATACTCAACAGTCATTTGCAAAAACTTTATTAAGTGTTTGTTTGAGCTAAACCATATGTAGATTAACGACCCAACTGTTTTGTCAATTACTTTGTGTCTAAAGTTCATACAGTCATTAAAACTAAAAATAGTAAACTATTACTCAAACAATAAAGTTGCTATCCGAACAATTAACGTAATACATTTTTCATATTCACAATAATCACGTACAATTGGGTATCAACTCTCAGCGAAACAAACTATTTAGTCAATTGTCTCATTGAATTACTTAGCAGGGTACAGTCGCGTCATGAATCACCATCAAGCGTCGTGTCAGCTCTCATTAATTCACGTACATGTCTTAATTTAAGATGGCCACAGCTACATTTTTGAATGCAATTAAAAAGGGATTTTTTGATAGAAATATTTCGGTTGCAATTCTGGGTTAGATGAATATTAAATTGCTGTAAATACTGAGTGTTAAATAGCAGTAACAAATAAGAAAAAAAAAACAAATTGATGAAGAATTCTGTCTGAATCTATATTAAACTAATTTGCAAAAACAATTTTTAAGACCAAACAGTGCGATTTGGCTGTACCAACTAAAAGATAAAACCAAATTATTTGCACGAAAATGGTACGTATTTATAAAATAGGTAGGTTTATAATTATAAAGAAGGTAGCATATATTTTATTCTGCCTCCAATTCGGATGTACAAATAGTCTCTTACAGGTTGAAAAAACACTTACTTAGCAACTCAAATACCAACCATAATTACTTTTCTTAAATTGATGTAACAACTCTTAATTTAGTTTAGTTGACTATTTGACTTGAGTAGACCCATTTTAGGTACTTTTAATCGTCAAAAAAAATAAAAATTAATGTCTATCGGTCAATCATCTAGTAAAACTAGGTACTGGGCAGGTTTCTATGCAGAAGAACGAGCAAGAAACTCCACGGTGACTCTTTTTCTACACGTAGTCTAGTACAATGTTGCGGAGAACCTAACGGGTTACCGGGGCTCCGGCTCGAAGCGCAGGAGAAGGAACGGGGTGGTTTTTAGTCAGTAAGAGTCTGACACTCCCCTCACCCAGGCGGGAGCAGTCATTCGATGATTTTCCCCCCTTAAAAAAAGTCTAGTACAATACCAGCACAAGGCTCTGTATTCTAGGGGCTCCTTATTAATAAAATATGTTTAATATAACGGGCCAGTAGAATACCAGCGCAAGGTCGTCTTGTACATACTGAACTGTCCCATTTTGCCGCAGACTTGGGACTGGAATATGTACCAATAAGTATCTAACATATTATTTAAACGTTTACAATTTGTACAAGTCACTTGTTTTAGTGTGTGAAATAAGTGTTTTTTCCTTCTTTCTTTCGTTTCTATCAGGTCACAATCCAATACTTAGTAAAATTATTAAGTAGGCGTACGTAAGTGGATGTGATTTAAAAAAGTGTCGTCGTGCAGTCGTAACTCACAGTTGCGTGTGACTGTACATCCTGTGGCCGGTTCATCTCGTTGAAACAATAACGCGAAGGTCGCATAGTTGCATTCAAGTGGATCTTAGGCTGACCCTTATATCCTTATTCGAGATGTTCCTTGCAGACTTGTTCCAGTTTTTTAGTTCAATGGCGATAGAAGACCGATTTGTTTGTGGTATCCCTATCACAGACTGACTGCCGGATAGTAAGCGATAACTTAGGACAAGAAGTTTTTTAATAGTCGCAAGTTAAAAACTACTATTTGATGAGGAAAAATTTATCGTTCTGTTAAAAAAACACAAATACGTAAAACTGAGATTCCGAGTACTCACTTAAAATTAATAAAAAACTTTTCCTATAACAAAACAAAAAAACAGACAATAATTTCGTCTCAAGGAAACTCGAGGCTTATTTTTTTGCAACAACAACACCCAAGTCAAAATACACTTCTGACAATTCCCCAAACAACATTTGCAATTCTTATCTAATTCGGAATAGGTACACAAAAACTTCCGTCAACAATAAGCGAAGATTGTAACGGGCACGATAAAAATATTTTCCAACATTCTTGAAGTACCTATGTTCCCAGAAAACCATGATAAAAAAACAAGAATGTTTGTGAGCCCTTTGGATGTCCGCAGTACCCACATCATACGGGTGTACCTACATCTTGTTACGAAGGTCAAATAGCTAAACCACCACACCACTGGGTCCCGCTACAACCATTCCATAAAATTCGATGCATTTTGATATAAATTAAAACGCTGTTTCATAGTAATTGTACAATAACTATGCATATTATGCATTTAGCTTGTGTAATTAGACTAATTGTGGTAATGTTTTGCAATCAACAGTGTTGACTAAAACATGGTATTTAGGTGCTATGTTTAATTATTTTATAATTGCGTTTGACGTTATTTGAATGCTTTTGGTATTATTAAACTGTATGGACATCGGGTTCAATGTAAAATTATGCTGAAATAGGTTTTGTTGTGGTGTAGGCTTTAATAGTTAAATTATGCAACAATATTACATTTAATTCATAGATGCGTAATATTCGCGTTAAACGCACTAATCGTGACTACAAAGCGAAATCAATATAGTATAGCAATATTGGTTTATCATGTCGCGCCATCAAGGCAAACTTCAGGTTACATTTGCATGGGAAAATTGCCTCGTCTTCTATGTAGGAAACTAATAACAATACTCATTGCTTGGCTTAGAATATTGATTGTTACTTTATTATTTTAATAATTATGAGATTAAAAAAGCGTGATTGCTTCGTTTGGTTAATTTGACTAATACTTAGTTGGACGTATTGAGCGTGCGGTTCAAATCGCGATGCGGATAACATATTTACATCGATTTGAAGTTTATTTTTTATGGTTGTAGCCAGCATATATGCGTTTAAGGTAACTTTTAACAAGCCACCTTACTATTGTATAGCTGTTAACGAACTAGTCAAAAATACGAACAGAACTAATAATGAAAACACACGTAAATAAATGGTTTTATTCGTATTTTAGACGGTGAGATACAAATGTCAACAATTGAAATAGATTGTTGCTTATTAGGCTAACATATTCTTCAGCAAAATGTGTTTTATCTGCAAATGTAGTAAGTTTGTAAACAATCTACGGTCAGCAAAATTATTCACGATGTATTCTAAAGAATAAAATGAAATTTGCTACATAATGTAATTAACTTTCAATTACATAGTTCTATCAATTCTCTTGTGTAAATATTTGTAACTAAATAGTCCAATATTTACTAGACTAAAACCAATTTTTTATAATAACTATCGTGATAAATGCTGAATCTATATCTCTATATAAAAATGAAACCCGTTTCCCGTTGTCACGCCATAAGTTGAGAACGGCTAGACTAGACCGTTTTGGCTGACTTTTTTTTTTGTTGTGTTTTCTACCGTCAGGAGAAGGTTCTTATGATAGAAAAAAGTCCGGAACATCCTACGGGAATGGGAGAAACGGGATTGCGAGCACGAAGTCGCGCGCAGAAGCTAGTTAACTATAAATCTCTACTAGTTTCGAGTCACAGAGGTACCTACTCTTCCTCATAAGCAGTCGAGGTCGCGGCGATGCCGTGCAGCCTACTCAAAGCCAAGTAGTCCTTTTCTCAGCTCAGTATATTTACGTGAGCAAACATTTATAGTTAAACCTAATATATTAACTTCTCGTACAAAAGACGACTTCGTATAAGCTACCATACATACATACATACATATACCAACGCAAGCAAAATCGCGGTCTAAAGTATTTATCAAATAATGCTGACAAAACCGTCATTCATGAGCCTACACCAATTGACTTCATTATTTAAATTTAATAGCTCTGTCTGTAATTTTGTGA